TGGGATTAGGATTAGGATTGGGGATTGGGATTAGGATTGGGAGTGTGGTCTATGACTGACCCAAAGCGCCGGGGGTCTGGGGGGTTATTCGTTTCTCTACGTGCAAAGTCTCACGGAAATAACACCGTCGGAATTCGTATGGACACGTTATTAGAACGCACAAAAAAAGCATTACGTCGTTAGAACTATTACATGTGGACACTCCACCCTCCTAAATAGAGCCGGGTCTCCTCTTCACGAGTGATAGTGTCTGAAAAAAGTCTAAACCACTTGTTATAGAACTCTCTTTACCTAATAAAACACACATATCTTTTACAAAATCTAGAAACTCACAGTAGAGTACTTTTTACACTCGTTTTTGTTTATCCACCAACGCAGAAATAATGATATTATATGTCCACGTTATTAAAAAGTACGATTTAATTCCGAGACAACGAAACCTATAGTGATGCTAGGACAAATGTCGCATTATATTCATGTATTATTGTTAACCCACACGTGTAATCGTATTAATGATCGATCGCATCGACCGCTTTGACCGCATTGAACGCGGAGCAATTATATTTTAGGTAGTACTATTGTTTCGGTATATGGTCTTGCGCACCACGACCAATGCAATGCGTTTAAACTGCAAACGAACTAACACTTGCTCGTAAAACCAATTTCAACGCGGTACGCGATACTCGCGTGTATGCCCAATAAGAAGTCTAACGGCCCCTAGACACTGAAAAACGAGAGAGTTTTAACCGGTAAAATAGTAGTTACGCGGTTACTCGTTGAGAGTATCCTTAATTACTCCAGCGAGCAGAGACACACGCGTGGTGCGACACCGAGTCATAGATGGGATACGATATGTAGGTAGCCGTCCACCGCTCGGACTTTAATATGGAATCCGGGAGACGTGGAGGGTGGGGGAACGCGTCGAATAATGTAGTGTCGCATAGAAGTCGCCTTATAGTTTTATTGCCGGGCCCCCAGTTTTCCCGTAGTTACTTTCGCTGGGTACGAGAGTATGTGTTTTGTTGTGGACATTTATTGGTCACAACACAAGAAACTTTAACTTTGGGTAATGTTGTGAATCGAGTGGCCTGTTTTCATCGTCTATAACATACGCCTGCCCATACCATAACCCCACCACCACCATGGGCCACTCGATTCACAACATTACCCTAACCCTAACCCTAACCCTAACCCTAATCCTAACCCTCGCACCAGATACTGACTGGTTTTCATGATGAGGTTCACGTAAAGCACGGTTAATGTATTATATTATTGAGGGAGAATTGTCCGGGGCTACAGAAAAAACATTCGGGGCTTTAGCCCAGGCCAGGGGACGCCACTGGTCTGCTGCTTCTACATCCAAACTCAAAAACATCTTTACTTGTCTTGCCACTCTGCTCTCTTGCACCCTATTCGATCACCTCATCTTCCTTTCATCTATGCATATACGTAATTGTATTAATTTAGTTGATGGAACATATGAAAGGAATCACGCATCATTAATTGAGACTCCTGATTAGTTGATTAAGCCTTAACAGACTTTGGGCAAAAACTAATTTAGTCCTTCGGGCTCCAATGCGGCTAATGAGATTTGATATCCCTTCATTTTTTCTTATAGATATTAACAGTCTTCGAACACACCCAGCCATTTGTTACTGTAGCACTGCTTCCACTTGGTAGCAGCCGCTTTCAAACCTTAAAGGCAGCTTTCTAGATATTTTCATGCTGTCAGAATAACAAAGGAGAAACTTTGCTTTCTACTGGCGTGAATAATATAGCAGGATTTGCCAATTTCGTTTCACTGTATCCACTGAGCGTGATATGTCAATGTCAAATATTTCAGCTTGGAATACTGGATCATCTTGTTTTGTGTTTCCCTCAACAATTACCAGTGATTGACATATCCATTTGCTGTCGACACAAAAGCTGCGGTTGCCATTATCTTAATGAATTTCACAGCAAGCAAAAGAAACATCAATATGCAAGTGCTGTTAGTCTCTTAAAGATTTACCACAACTTGAGTTCACTAGTGACAAATTTAAGAAAAGACTGATTGGGAAATAAAGGCAGATGCTTCACTATAGAACTTGATAGGAATCAAAATGGAGTTGGATGGTGGCGGTGCACTCCACCCTCAGCATCAACAAACAAATGGCTGCTTAAAAATAAACATTTTTAATGTAATAAGTTACCCTTATATAGCGTTGTCTTTCTGTTTAACATTTTGACATTGCAACATCAACTTTGAACCATCCCCTTTGCGAAGTATTGTGGATCAGAATAGCCAGAAAAGCAAAATAGCAAAATGCCACCAAATGCAATAAGACATCCTGGCATGTGTGGCATAATGCGTTCGAAAAAGAAATCTTGAATATGAAATATAATGGTAGAATGGGTATTACAAAGTAGAAGGTTGTATTAGGAACACAGATCATTTTGAAGGAATGGTATTTCATTCAGTTCAGAGACTTTAAATATCTCAGCCATAGCTTTTTCTGGCGGCTCCAAATTGGATGTTGGTTTGTTTTAACTTATTACTCATCCAAATATTGACATTAACTTCTCTCTGAATACTGAAGGCATGCCTGGCCGCTTTTGTATTAGTTTTCATTAAGTAAGCTTTTGTGTCTGAATTTGAAACTATGTCTATACTATTTTGTTCATATTATTCAGAATTCTTTGTTTAGGCAACATCATACCCAAATTATAGCACTTACTTATTTTTGAAGAACAATCCTTGTCATGGCACCAATTTTATGACTCCCTAGTCCTCAATGTGAGCGTGGTTGTTGTGAAAGCATCCACACTTTCCTGGAATCAGCTTGTTGAAAGCACTTCTGAACTTTTGAATTGCTCTCTTTACTTCTATTTCATTCACTTGAGCTCTTCCCAAACCTATATTAATGCAAAAAATCCTATTTGAAACAAAAGTTGATCACAAAAAATAAACTATTATATATAAACTAAACTACTCCAATTAGCGAGGGTTACACTCTGGCTTCCTGTCTGGCAGTTCGCGAAGCACTCTCAAGCACACGCAGGAATATGACAGCAGCAAAGATGGCAAGCACACTCATGGTTTTTCACCTCCCACAAGAAGTATTTATTTTTACAAGAGTGTTTTGTGCTAGACTCAAACTGAACATGCACAACTTGCTTTAAGCTAATTCACAACTTGCTTCATGCTGTTCTGCCATCTCACATGCCCTAGAGACCAACAGTTGGCCGCCCCATGCCTCCCCCACTAAACTGCCATTTATTAGTTATTGGAAGGCTGTTATGAAGACGATGCCTGAGCACTCGGCAGGCCTGATCTCTGAAAAGATTTACTCCAATGACAAAAAATAGACCAATCTATTCTGTATTGCGGTGATGTTGGGGTTATCTCTCACAGATATACCCTGGTGTATTGCAGATATCGAAAGAGACACACAGGCACACAGTCAAGCAAACATTGATCACTGATGAGTATCTACCGGAGTCTCCTCCTGGAGCCAATAGAGCAGTTGTTAGTTCACAAGTGATGCTGTCTAACAGCTGTTATACACACACACAGGCTCACACAGGACCATTAGGGGCGTTTTAAATGGCCACTTACAATCATCATAGCCTCCTCCTAACTGCATACACTCCCCGATCTCTTTACAAGAGTTCTGCATCTTATGCGTGTCTTTGCAGTCACAATTCAACGGACTGTACAAAGTCATTGTGGGAAGAATGAAATGGTGAAAAGTGCAAATTAATCACTGCCTTAAGGGACGGTGACTTTCAGATTTGTACAGATTTGTTTGAAATACCTTGAGCTGTATTTAGTAAACGTATTGTATTTTTTATTGCATTTTTTGGTAAGCGTATTTAACTCTAATTGTACCTTATTAACATAATACTGTACATTAATATCAGTATATGTTTAATTTTATGTACTTGCATTGTTTTTATATATTAATATTTTAATGTAATTGTTATGGCTTTTAATTTAGGCTATTTTTACCTCTGTCATTGTTTGTATTCCATTGCATTGCAATCGAACACTGTTTCCTTTGTTCCTAGTTTTAACTTATTATAATGGTGTTATGTTTTTTCTGCTTGTTCTGTGAAGCACTTAGGGCTGTAACCTGCATGAAAGATGCTATACCAATAAAGTTATCATTAGTAAGTTATGTATAAAGCTGTATATGTCTGTGTCACAACTGTGGGGAAAAAAAAACCTGTGGGACAATAGATCTCAAATCTGAATGCATAATAAGCCATATAGTGCTCTATAAGTGGGTTTTTTATCTATTATATTTATTTTGTTAAATAAATAGGTAATCATGATTTATAACATTACTTGCCACTTGTTGTGTTGGCTTTCCATGTGACTCAAGATATGCATTAAGCTTATAGTTAGTTTCAGCAGCTTTATAAAGTATATGTTACGCTGCCTCCACATGGCAGGGAGGCAGTACTGCCACCACAGCTGGACCCTGGAGTCAAGGTCAGAGGAAGAGTGTCAACTGCTGGAGACACATGGCTTTAACCTGCGTCCCAGGGGAGGGTTAGCATGTGTGAGTTTGCATAGAGGAAATGTTAATGCTGCCTGTCTACGTAAGTGTGTGTGTGTCTTGGGGGAGAGCTTTGCTGTGGTTGCTGGGTTAGCCTCTCGAGCATCATTATCATTGAAATAAACAATAGCTAAGCTCCGATGTCCTCTGTGCCCTTGTTCCTCTATTAGACGGTCTTGCGTTTCCGTGTGTGCACTCAGGCGTTGATTTCGGCACGTTTCATGAGTACACATTTGCAAAAACCCGTGTTTGTGCGCTTACATAAATACTCCTTTGATTTCCACTTTATTGGTAATTAGTTTACCAGTTGATTGCAATTTAAGAGAATCCTCATCCATGTCTTGTGTGTTTTTGTGCTTATTTAGGTACCTGATCCCCTCATTGGACCGCTCCCATGCCGGCCTCTACCGTTGCATCGTGAGGAATCGTGTGGGAGCCCTGCTGCAGAGGCGCACAGAAGTACAGGTGGCCTGTAAGTATCCCCACGGGACAGAGGTGAAACACAGATGAATGGACCCTAATGGGGAATCAAGGGATGGATAATAGATGGAGGGTGTGTGTGTGTGTGTGTGTGTGTGTGTGTGTGTGTGTGTGTGTGTGTGTGTGTGTGTGTGTGTACACAGTGAGCCCACACAGTTTGGTTGCCTTTGTATCAGGGACTGATTGGGGAGGGACAGCTGACGGCGGGGTGAAAGAGCTACCTGCATATCATCCGAGGTGTTATCAACCCAGACAGCTGTTCCACTCAGCACTCTCATTACATTGATATTGTCACCGTGGTTGTTTTTAACTTTGTATCATTTCAATATGACCGCCGCTTATTTCATCCTCGCTCCTTTGTCAACAACATCTGTCGTTCCTTGTTGAAAACGGGTCCCGGATGCTTTGTGTGTCTGTACATTTCCAACCACCACTTTCATGCCACAGACCTCCTTCTTTCCTATTAATGAGATATTACAAACGCACCACAGAGGTGTCTGGAGTGTAGTTACGGTTAGCCCCTCTTCCCATGGTATGTCAGGTCCATTGGCTACCCCTTGTTTCAGCGACATTTGGGTGGATGCGACACGGCGCTGTACCTGACTGAACAATGCAGCCAACCAGGCGTGCGAGAGAAAGAGACAGGAGGGGGACGGGGGTGCAGACAGCGAGGGTCTAGCAGTCCCACCGGTCCACTTCTTTAGTGTCGGGCAAACATGCCGTCGCCAGCCGCTTCCTTCCTCTCTTTCCTCCTCACTACTTGCTACTCCCACCACTGTTTCTTTTTGTTGTGGCTCCCCTCCCTCTCTTTAGACTTTGTCTGCTTTTCTGGCCACCACTGCCTTCTATTTATTTCTTGGCTTCCACCCCACTGTCATCTTCTTTCTCCTCATTCCCACCTCTTCCCATTTCCATAATTCCTTTTCTTCCCCCCTCATCAGTTGCTCACGGAAAGAATATGGACGGTGAGACAGAGTGAAAAGGGGAATTAAGGACACCTGCAGAAGAAACGGATGAGACAGACAGGGGAGGGAGAGAGGGAGGGAAAGAGAAACAGAGAAGAATGGGAGACATGGAGAGATCTCTTTTGCAAGCTTTTCCATTGAAGCAGCACAATTAGGATTGCGGAGACACACCTCTGAGAAAGGAAAACATGCCCAGGCATTACAGTTTAGGGGAGGGGAGGAGGACATCACATCGCAGAAACTGCAGATCAAAGTCAGGGGATTTGCACACTTCCTAGATTTTCATTTAAGCTAAGCACCAGAGCTCCAGCGCAAATCCAGATTACCTTTTTTCATTCTCTTTGAACGAGAGCGGCGCAAGAGAGAAAAATAAGATTGCTATCGATGCACAACCACTCTAACGTCCCCAGTTCAAAGCCCCATACCTTGATCCGTGCGTTTCACAACGATATTATTATTTCTAAACTGTGTTAGAACTTAATTGAGTGTTTGATGTTATATTCAAATTATTTTTTTCTTTATTGAAGAGCAAAAGATAGGATCCTTTACTCGCATCGGAAATAAAACAATCTTTCCAGCCATGGAGAAATGCATGCTTCTGTTGTGTTTGGAAGAATTACAGGCAGTATCAGCCAATATGGTTGCATCAGAGGATTGCTGCAGCTGAGATAGAAAGAACAATTGAAGTTAAGGCTGATGGACGTGAAATCCATCAAACATTCCCAACCTCCCTATATATCTCACTCAGGAACAGGCCGAGCATGGAGCAGGAATATTAGCGCAGTATTTTTCAGCTTTTAAGATATAATGAGGCAGGGGAGGAATAAAGCCGCTCTAACAAATGAAATGTATTAGGGGATAATGGAATAGCGGCAGCGCTGGTCATCTTCTATGTTGAGTAATGCACATATTTAGAGTGTGATTAAGATTGATTGCCCTTGATGCATCCACACAGGAGGATACGGAATATGAGTTAATTTAGCGTCCCCTCTGTGTCCCTGTGTGAGTCATTACATCTTGGTTCCTTCCAGCCTTTCTTGATGTACTGTGGAAACCATGGCAACCACACTGTGTTGTCCATCAATGTAACGTTTCACAACAGAAAGCAGATGGCAAAAGCTCTGTGGGGCACCAAAAGTCCGATTTTAAGAAAAAAGGGAGATTTGTGCCTGCAGACTTAACTGAACTCTTCCTTGTTTCTAACTCTCTCCTGTGTTTTCCCGTAGTTATGGGCAGTTTTGAGGAGGGGGAACGCTCCCAATCCGTCTCCCAGGGAGAGGGTGCGGTGGTCCATGCGCCGCGCATTCGCAGCTTCCCCCAGCCCCAAGTCACCTGGTTCAGAGATGGGCGTAAGATTCCACCCAGCAGTCGCATGTAAGTCCTTTTATTTATTTGTTCAGATTTGTATTCTTCTTCCCCTGGTTTCATGTGTTTGCTTTACTTTGATTTTTTCCTTTGATCTTGTTACTACGTCTTTGTGCCTAGTTTGTTCTGTGGGGTCTTTGATTGCTTTGGTTTGATAGGGTCTGTTCCCACCTGTGTTTTATCATTCATCTCGCTACACTTTGTGCTAAAAGAGAGTTTGAATTTCTCCTGCCAAGACCAAAGCAGTATTGACACTGTGTGAAATAGAATCGCACCTTTGATTCTTGCTTTTATTTGAAAAGAAAACCTATACCCACCACTTTTATTTCAACTCATCTGTGTCTCTGTCTCTCCTCATTTGGGGATTCTGGGGTCAGCTATCAAGTCAATAAAGAGGTGAATCAGGAAAGAGGTGTTGAGGTCCAAACATGGGGGCATGGGTCAATGTTGTTACTTTAATTACATGGGATTTGATCTTGTATGCTCCATTTTAAGAAACATGGAAAACTAATTGTACTTATCTATATAGCACATTCAGGCTTATGTATTATTAAGGGGGTACTCAATTCATTTAGTTGGACTCACAACGTCGGGTAAAACATATCATATTTTCGATTTCACACATCCTTATTTCCTTTTTCTATCTCCTACATTACCAACAGTCCAACTCTACCACCCATGGTGCGTTTGAAGATCTGGTTGTGTCTCTAGTAGCGGCTGATGTAGCCCTGAGGATGATAAGTGTGCTTCAGAGGTCTGGTTATCTCACTTCTGTCTAACTGCAAACCCGCAGGTTTTTATTTTATTTCCCACAGATCACTCTGGAGCCACTACTAAAAAATGTATTCACATATGCAGTAGTACTCCTAAGACCTGTAAATAGACTTGGAAATTCATATTGATAATATAGATCCCATTAGGCAAAGTAGTAGTGGTATTTCTCTTTCTGTTATTTAGTTATTACTTTTTTGGTAGAGTAGAAATCTCTGTGTTGCTGTGTTTGTATAACAATACGTCTTGGATATGCGACCCTGTTATAAAAACACTTATCCCTGTGTCATCACATCTGCATCTCCTCGCAGTGGGAGGTGACCTTGCCCTTGGTTAGAGTGAATCTTTCTTATCTGCTCTTCATCACCAGTAATCATACCCTGACCTAGAATGACAATGAGACAAACACCCAGACTGACTGAGAGGCTGAAGGCTGCAGATGGCCGTGGATCTGCAGAGCCATTTTGTTCCGTGTTGTTGTGGAAATCTGGATTACTTTTGAGAAGTTATTCGGAAAAAGGTCAAACAACAGTGCAGCTCAATGTGTTTACTAATTAGGTATTTGAAGAGATTATTGTTATGGAAGTTTGAAGAAGGATCACACTTTGTCGACGGTTTTAGTGTGAAGGCGTCCGTCAAATAATCGTCCAACTCCTTATTAGTTTCACATTTCGCTCATTCAGCTCCTTCTCCTCTCTCTCCCTTCATGTCTCCTTATATAATGTTCTGTTTATGTCTCCCTCTCTCTCTCTTCTCACTCCTTTTGTCTCCATTATCGGCCACCCACTGTGTGTACTTTGCTTCTCTTCATCCTCGCTACCTACCCTCTAGCTCTGAGAATGCTAATTTTGCACGCACCACCAAGGTCACTGTGTGCAAATGAGAACCGTTGATAACAGGCAGTCTCTTTTTATTGAAAATCATTTAATTGAATTTGATTCGTGCCACAAGCGTTAACTCTGCAGCAACATCAAAGTCCCACTGGTGGAGGAGACGGAGGGGGCACCAAAGAGATTGTTCTGCGCCCAAACACAGTTGTTACCTTGACAAAGGCTCTTTCCAAGGCCTGGTGCTCTCAAGAGTCAGCTCCAGCTCTCTAAACATCGTCACATGACTCCTATGTATTCTACCAATCATCTGTGAAAGGCTGGTAGTTATATTTCAAAGATGTGTGCCAACTAATGATCCAGAATAGCAGTAAAGAGATAGATACATTATTAGAAAAAAGATGCCATGCACCACAACCGATAGTTATTTTACTCTTTTTATTTTCTCTCTCCTCATCATCGTCCCCTGCTCCTGCTATCCCTCCTCAGGTGTTATAACTTTAATTTGCAGGCTCTCCAGGAGTTCTTCTAGCTTCTTCTATCCGTGCTCTACTTAATCACACCTCAGCAATAGATGAGAGACGCAAAAACAGCCAGACCCAGAATAACTCTGCGCTACCTCTGCAGGCTGCTGTACTTGAACTACAATATTTGTCACGTTGAGTTTACATTTACTTTGTGATCAGTTGGCCCTCACTGTGTGGACACGTTGTAAGTTGCTTTTTCAAATTGCATCACACAGTAGGAGGGGTTGCAACTACTGCTTTTACTGTTGTGGAATAGTTTCAGGAGCTTTGATATTAAACAAGTCAAGTTTTAATGGCGGATTGAAATAACTGTTGTTTAGTTAACTGGGTCTCAGATCTCATCACGATGTAACCCCTCAAAATAAAGGGTAATAGGTCATATTGGAGCTGCCAACATTAGCAAAATACTGGAATATGGTTTGATTTTCTTAATTTAATTTAAGTATCAAATTCATGTATGCCAAATGCAAAGACCTCTCTACTAATAATACTGAAGAATGAACACATTTGGGTTTCTGCTTGCCACAACTTGAAGTTAATGACGTTTTTTCCATCTAATTATCAGTAGTGGAAAACGACCAAAATGCTAGAAAAAAGATTGGGATGATTAAATACATTATGCCTGCTGTACATCAGCTTGTTAACATTGTCCTAGCACTTCAAAGTCAAGGATGCAACTCATACATGGATTCATGGATAATTGATCGTCAACAAAATGCAGTCTAGTCTAACACAATACAAAACACAATGACGCATGCATTCCTGTAGTGCATGCGTTGAATTTGAATGAGGATTAATGTAGCAGCAAAGGAAACATGGCATGTGCATTCTCTGACCATATGATATGGCCGGCATCTTCATCATAAAATATTTGGAAACTGTCAATCAACTCTGATGTCTGAGCACCAAGCATCATTGATCCACTGGAGTCCTCTGTAAAGTGTAGCTTGATCCTTGATGCTATAACGAAACCACGTCTCTGAATGTTCTCTGGGTTAACCTGAGCATTATTTCAACCGTGACCGGACATCAGGTAAGAGCCTTAATTCTTAGCTGGGTTAGCTTAGCGTTTGTCTTGGCTTTCATCCTGGGGCGGTCACTCCACACGCGGTCACTCCACACGTGGTGCCGTTTGGTCCTGCAGGGTGGACGGAAGATGCCCCGGGCGGCAATTGTTTCAGGGTCCGCTGCACTTTATCCAATCCCACGCTTCACTGAACCGCTTTTGACGAGTGTTTCCATCATAAAAGAAAACAATTAAAAAGAAAGTGTAGCGAAGTTCACGGGAGCTATCGTGTGCCACAATAACTGCATACTTAGCATGGTGTGAACCCAGCACACCATCCAAACCCTGCATGTGTAAAGAAAACCCACGGAAACTTACTGAATGCTGCATTTTTGCTTCCCTGCTGCCAGTTTCCCCCTGGCAAAGCGGCGTCTCACTGTGACTCTGTGACTGTTCTCTCTTTGCCATGTGGCCTCTGCAGCTGTTGCCCTTTGGCGAAGGCGAAGACTCCTGCGCCGTCTCTCACAGCACACCCATAAACGTACGGATTCACTAATTGCAGTGTTTGTCTCTGATGTCCGTTCTGTCCACGCTCACAAAAACACAATGCTTAAAAATGCCGCCAGGCGTTGGTGTAGCAGCCCTTGGTTCTCACGTCTTTGTTGTGTTGCGATGTAGAGCAAGATACAAGGAGAGAAGGAGCTTATTTAGCATCAACAGTCATTATTCTCCCCTCACTGAATGGGAATGCATTTGGCGGGCTCTTTTCCATTCACCTGTCGCAATTTGTTGTGTTATTTCGGAGACTTAATTTGGTGTATAATCAGAGGCTCTTTCAGTAAACACTTTGGCCGGGAATTGCGGCGCTGCTGGCTAAGGTGAGTCGTCTGCTGGATATAGCAAAAACCTGTCCTCTCACTATTTCTCCACTGACAACAACTTACTGCCAGCTACCTGGTTTTCTCTCACAAATACTTTCCATTGACACCTTGGCATGGATTTATCTGCATTACACCGAAAACAACCTTGTAGAGGTATCCGTTAAGACAGAACATAGAGGAGGCTGACCTGCAGGAGTCAGTGGGAGGACACCCCGACACACACACATTGCAATCCCCCCGAGTAATCTGCTGTAGCTACTGATCAATTAATGGCCCCTGCCTGTGATGTTCAGGCACTGTCAGTCTGCTATAGATTCCCCATTAGTCACGAGGGCCAGTGAAGAGCCGGGCCCTTTCTCTGCATTTCCATGTAACCAACTGCCCACCATTAGTCATGAACCCAACAATCCTCAGGTCAAAAGGGAAGAGATGTCAAGAAGAAGCAGCTTCAACCAAGAACAAAACACCGTCATGCACATGGCTGCAGGATTAAATTAATTATTGATTCACTTTTTGTTTATTTACTTGATAAATCCATTGCAGGGCCAAGGACATAATAGAAATTGCTTGTTTTGTCCAACCAACAGTAAAAAATGCAAAGATATTCAATATGCAATGATAGCAGAAAAGCTAATCTTCTGATAATTTGGTTTCTGCATAAAAAAATCACTTTGATTAAAAATAATATTACTGCAAAAAAAAAAGGTAAACCGGTCTAAATTCATATATCTAACAGGCAAACCAGAAATCAATACAACCGATTCAATAAAATGTCATTATGTTTTACGGACACTAGTCCAAATCCCCAAAATGTACTATTTATGATGTAAAATCAGCACTCTCACACTGTTTAGCTGCAACAACCGAATGATTGCTTTTCTTGTTCAATTACCTCCAAATATTAATTAATTATCAAATAATTGCCGTTCAGTTTTCTTTCCATCGGCTTATCGATTGTTCATTGAATCTTTTCAGCTCTAGTGAAGATAGATTGGATTTACAGGATGGATTATCAAATAGCTTGTTATTTATTATGTCAACACTTGTTATTCTGCAGGTCAAGGCTGATCAGAAATGGCCTCGAGTCCATTTTGATGTCACCATTTGACCTTGTTCGGGTAAATCCATTCTTTCTTCACAGTTTTCTGAACACTCAACCAACTGCGAGCAATAGTGTATGAGAGAGCTAACTGTGAGCCACAAATCTCCAGTGCATGCCCCTGGTGAGAAAACAAGTGGCTTTTTTCTTATGAGCAACACTCTCTTAACTATTCCCGTCTCTCCTCTACCTCTCCAACCCCAGGAGCTGTGGCTTTTTCATCACAGGTCTTGAGCAGTAGGGCTGGCAGCCTGCTGCTTCCTCTCACTCTTCTGGCTCTCTCCAGCTTTTCTTTAGCATTCATCTACTTACTGGCTGTGCTTTGACTCATACTTTAGCCAGCCATGTGAGCTGCTTGATCCCGTCAACCTCCCTCTCTCCTTCCTGGGGGAGCCCATCAGTCGACTGGGGCCATTTGTCTGCATGTAATGGAGGTCTGAGGCTGTGGAGCGAGGTGAGCTCCCTCACGGCCCGGCGGAGAGGGACAGCCACGACAGATGCCAACACACTTCTAACAAAGTGTGTGTGTGTGTGTGTGTGTGTGTGTGTGTGTGTGTGTGTGTGTGTGTGTGTGTGTGTGTGTGTGTGTGTGTGTGTGTGTGTGTGTGTGTGTGTGTGTGTGTGTGTGTGTGTGTGGTGTTAGAACAGGCACAGCTCTGTCAGACTGTGTCAGTACTGGATTAACACGATAAGATATGCACACTGCGGATGAACTAGATACAGAGATATTGCTCTTAAGATACTTGTTCAAAATGTAGAGTCCAGGGACGACGTGTCCTTAAATAAAGAGAACATCCATGCCTCATTGTTTATTTAATTTCCTTGTTATGTAATGTATTAGTAATAATGAAAATTAGGAAAAGGGAAGAACCCAGTGGCAAATCAAACATTTATACTCCTATCTCTCTATTTCAATCAAGCATAAATCCTCATCATCATTATTGATTAAAGTGCTAGGGAATCATTATCAGACTGGCAGCCATTGAAAAACCACCCTTGACGCTAAATATAAATAAATTGAGCCACAAGAAAGTAATTGCATATGAGACGGTGCTGCTTCGAGCTGCAAGCAAAACTGGGATTGGGCATGAAGCTGCACAGTTGGCCAAGATCTTTCTGAGCAGCTGTCCAGCCGGCCAGGCTCTCCTGTGGACCGCAGCGCATTCTGGAGAATAATAATGGAAAAGGAAATTGCGTTGGAATAAGAAAGAGAAAGTGTTCAAAGATGCAGGAATAACAAAAAGACCAGACAGAGGCATGTTCACACATATCAGATTTGTCCAAATTTCTCCGCTCCGTGGTTTGTTAAATCCCCGCACCGTGCCGGATACGTGGTAAGCCATTGTTACATTCCGCCTCAGACAGCTGCTCACACACCGCCGAGATGCTGGGGACTTTAATAAGGATGACCAAAACGCAATGAGCGAGATAATGAGATAGATAAAAAAAAAATAAGCAACCAAAACAAGAAATTACTTCAGGAAGCTGGTCAAAAAGAAATCCATTACCTCCTTTTAACCAAAGTCTTATCTCCCTCTTCCCGCTCCCTTGATATACATGTAAAGCCATTCAGGATAATTGGCTTACTTTTAATTCGTCATGTGGTCTTTGATCCCCCAGGACTGGTGAGCCGGGGAGCGGTTAGTCCCGCTGAACACGCTGCATAACAAAGTCTTCTGTGACCCCCGCAGCAGCCCTGATTACAGGCTGAAGGGAGAAAATGCTCAACAGGGAAGCACTTTAAAATATACCATTCAGGGGGAAAACTGCCTCCTACGCTCTGGTTATTATTGACAAAATCAGGGCTCTGTATGATGGTAAAATATCCGTTTTTTCTCAGATGCTTGGATGCCGTGTTTAGGGCTTTGTGGAAGAAAAATATAGAAAAAAGAAGCTTCTAAGATCATCATACAATGCTGTCAGTATCACAGAGAGAGTGGGAAGCCTGCTGTAGATCACATAAAACTGCCTCCTATAACTGAGCAGCACTACCCTGTATATTCATCTTCAGGAGTTTATAAGCGACAGGTAAAGAAGTTAAGCTCCAGATTGTGTCCTGGGATGTCGCCTGGGATTCATTCTCGCTTTGGACACTTCCGTTCTTCCCATATCCCAGAAGGGATCCATAATTCATGACTGTGCGTCCAGGATGTCACCGCTCCAGCAAGCTAGCATTAAATATTTACCGGTGATCATAAGCTGCAGCCATTGAGGCCTGTCAGTCCCTTTAGAAAGACTGTTTTCAGCCACAGCATGCACAGGAAATCCAAACGTGAACCCAGTGACTGTGGCTGCTCTGGGAAATATGTTTGGATGAATCTCATAAGTCATAATACTGTAAACGCTAAGAGCGCAGGTAAGCAGCATAGAAAGCCTTTTTTATTTGATGTGTGCACACTATATATTTTTCTAGTCCTTTTTTCTCCCGATGTATCTTTTTATCCTTTCATCAGCTCTCTTGCCACCTTAAGGCAGAGCAGGTACTTAGATCCCCCGCTGATGAGATGAAGGTCAGGATGGAGGAACAAGTGGATGGAGAAGTGGAGTGTTAGATTGGAGGAAGTGAGAAAGAGGAGGTCATCACCTGTGAAAGGATCATGGCTTAAATGTAACAGGGGTTAGCATTTTCACTCTTGTGTGCAACACGCAGAGAGAATTACATTTATTTTATGGATAAAAGCCATTTCTCTCAGGGGATCAAAGACTTTTTGTGTGTTATTGACTACTAAGATAGCTGTTATTACCGGTTTTAAGCTGCCAATAACTCTGGAAACGTCAAAGAGAAAAATCAAACTGATTTTAATATAGGTATAGGAGCCAGAGCCACAACCATTTGAATGCTATTGATTTGCTTCTCTGACAAAAGTATTTTTCTCAAGACCAAGCTTCCTGATGGGAGGTATTTGTACTTGTGTGTAACTGTGTTTGCAGGTGTGTCACACATGTGCTTATGTTGTTTAGAATTCATTTTTAGCTGCTTTGCTGATGAGTTTTTATCCTAAATCTGGTTCGGGAAAGGCCAGAAATGATGTCACTTCCTCACCTGACCACATTCAGCATCTGGAGAAATGGATGGAAGATAGAGGGGGTGTAAGATGGAGGGATAAAGCCAGAGGAAAAGATGTATGTGGGGGAGGGCACCCGCTTGGAACGGACTATCTACCTCCAGATTGTTGAACAGGCACAGATAATAAGACAATATTGATTGTTCACAGTCAGGGGGCTGTAACACGAGGCGGCAAAGGAGAGGGAGGAACATTTCTCTCTTGCTACGTTGCCGAGGGAAAGTCAAAGAGAGGACTTGATAGAGACAACAAGACACCAGGTATTAGTCCCTATAGAACGCTGGCTGAGAAATTGATCAGTGTTTATTTATTCAGGCATCATTTCAGCGGACGACAAGGAGGACGCTATTGTTTCTTGCCAAAAGTAGTCGGCTGCCAAAACGCAGGCCGAGAGGAGGCTGAGGGGTACAAATAGCCAATTAAAAGCCCCGGGTTATTACGCAGAGCTATCATATTTCAGAGCGGACCATGAGAAGTATGAACAAGGGAGGTTGTCAATATTTCTCTTGCTAAGTCAGCAGCTAGACTGTGTACACATTGTAAATCGATATAACTAATGCAGCTTGAACAATGTAATTAAAATGTTAAAATGGTTAATGCCCTTTTGGGCCGTGGGATCAAGTGTGGGCTCACATATTAGCCATCATTAGGCCGTCAAAAGCTACCTCTTGATGGTTAAATGTACTGTTTTTTCTTTTGCGTGAAACTTTATTATTATAAATTGTCAGTCGTACTGGAGTCCTTACTCCTGTCTTGACTTACTGTTTCCTCCCCACTGTATTCTGTAGTCAATATGTCTTGAAAACAGTTTCTTAAATAGTTCTTGTTCCTCCACAGTGCCATCACTCTGGACAACACGCTGGTTATTCTGTCTACAGTGGCACCAGACGCCGGGCGGTACTACGTACAAGCTGTAAATGACAAGAACGGAGAGAACAAGACCAGCCAGCCCATCACCCTATCAGTAGAGAGTGAGTAATCACACACTTTTTACACACACACTGTAATCAGCTCATTATGCCATGACTGGTAGAAGTGAGGCTCCACTGTAAGACCTTGCTAATAAGAACATTCTGACCATCCTCACGTACTGTAATTAATGTACAACATTGCTTCTTATTTCCCAAGCTCATCACATTTCCTGAATTTGAAATTGGTATAATGTGACGTAACTAGTCAAAATAAAAGTAGTGGAATAAAAAGTACAATACTTCCTTATTAACAAGACTATTAAATAGTGTGGCACTAAATTAAGTACAATCCCTAAAATGTGTTCATTACTGGAACAAATGCACGTTCCCTTCCCTGAAAAATATAATATACTGTATATCATAACTCATGGGCCATAATGCGAATTGAGTATTTTTACTTTTGGGGCCCTTTACTGCTTTTGGGGTGTTCCTTCTCCTGTAGTGTGTAATATATGTTTGTGTGCATGTAAACGGTCTGCAAAGGCTTGAATCCCAAAGTTCTCTCCAGAGGGAGTTTCTCTCCCAAACCCTCCCACCTGCCTGAAACGCCTCCTTTATTTACTTTCGTATCAAAGTGACATCACTACATGACACTAGCGCTTCAACACATTGTACGCGACAAGGTAATGGGTGGGACATCTCGGTTGACAAATTACAGCAGAGCCAGCCAGCTAACCAATCAGAGCAGACTGGGCTATCATTCCAGACAGAGGGTGAACGTATACTTGAGTATAAGTATATTCTGCTGATTATACTTTGAATGTAGGTATTTTAATTGTAATTATATATTTTTCTCTTACTTACCCCTTGCTTTATATTTGGTATCACCACTTTGAAACCCCCTGTGACATCCAAGAAGCTCCACCATTTTGATATGTTTTCCTTTCATTGCACTGAAGTGTATCTGTAGCCAAATTCACACGTTATTGCAGATGTACGCACTCAGGAAGAGAGAGCTGCGGGGACAGGGACAAAGACAGACTGTTCTACTGCCAAGTAGTTCTTAATATTCACCAGCATCCTCAGCTGCCACAACAACAACAAAACACAAGATGCACAAATCAAACCAATTTGGTTGGCTGCAGCTCAGCAGAGTGAATTATAAGAGGAAAGCTATCAGACAGCATCTCATGACATGGTAGACTGGAGTTCAGTGTGGAAGTGAATGAGGAGGGCGAGGGTAAGATATTACAGTTGACAACACAAGGGAACAGAAATAGCCTGTGTTATGCATGAAGAACAGTGGCAGGGTTGATTATACTAGTGATAGTACACACACACACACACACACACACACACACACACACACACACACACACACACACACACACACACACACACACACACAGAAACACACACACACTGATTCAGGTAAGATCAAGAGCCTAGCGGGAGGTCTCGACTTGGCAGGTCTCAGGGAATCATGCCATGAATTTGTATATAAACATTACACACATGCTCCACATATAGACGCTCGAATGAACACCCACACACACATAGATGTAGAGGCCAATGCTAGAGCCAGTACTGAGAGTTGTGTGTGTTAAGTGAGTGTATGTGCAGGTGTATCCGTCAGTATCTGCCTCAGCAGCTGTTCCTGCAGCGACACCTCTGACAGTTATCTCCCGGGAGACTTCCTGGCTCCGGCAGTGCTTGCGAGGGCGGAGGTCAAGGAGAATTTTGAAGACACCAATATTGCTCGTCTTACATTTTCCATACTCAAGTTGAAGTAAAAAATCCTTCAAGTCAAGTTGTTGAACTATTATTTTAAGTGCTCAGCACATTTAAGGAACTGTGGTTTGTCCAGTTGAAATATTAGCAATGATTTCCTGGTGACTAGCAACCAACCTTGCCAATGATTTCAATAAATGGACCTGATCGGTTTAAAAGTGTAAAGGTGATAATTACATCATTTAAATTGAAGGCATCTGAGGGTACATATGTTAGCAAACATATGTTTACCTACATTACATGTAATAGGAATGCAGATGGAAATGAGCTATTAGTTACAATCTAGAATAAAACATCTTAGATTAATGTATTTGTATGCATGGTCTGTCTTTGAATAAATACATAAACTAAACTATCAATAGGGGTTCCTTGGAAAAGGTTTTTCCATGTAAGGGCTCAATGTCCGCAAAAGTTTGAAAACGCCTGGTTAAAGGTGTGTGTGTGTGTGTGTGTGTGTGTGTGTGTGTGTGTGTGTGTGTGTGTGTGGTTCACACATGGCCTGTTTACAGTGTCTGATGACCCGAGATCGGTTAGATTGAGCTTTGACAGACCCCGTAGTTCCAACTGACATGTGCAGCCCTGAGCACACACCCAGGGCATGATGGGATTGACGGATCAGTGTGAGTTTATCACAGACATGACACATCTCAAGCAGCACACGCACACACTGTGCACTCGCTGCCATGGGCTGTCTGTCTCTGATGCGCACAACACACACACGCGAAGGCAAACACAGCGGCATAAACTAGTTTTCAAATGCAGGATTTTATACACACGACAGCCTATTCACCCCTTCAGCTTTGAGTTTGTCAGGCAGTATTTTTCTATCCCTGTTTCTGGTTCTCCAGCAGACATCTTATTATACACAGTCAGTGCACTGCCTCGTCATATTCCAACCATCTCTCAGGACTTGGATACACTGTGTGCACTGGTCACTTCCAATATGTCACGTTGGTGAACACCCCCAGAGCACTGGGTGGAAATAAGCGCATTCTGTCTGTTATAAACAAATCTATTTATCTATCCAGATCACTGCTCTGTGCTTAACCTCTCCGTGTCTCTGTGTTGTTGTTGTTGTTGTTGTTGTTATGTCTGTGTAGATGTAGGAGGTCCAGCAGACCCCATTGCCCCCACCATCATCATCCCTCCAAGGAACACTAGCGTGGTCACAGGCACCTCCGAGGTCACCATGGAGTGTGTTGCCAACGCCAGGTAAACATGCTGGAACTGCAGGGTCATACTGAAGAGCAGTCTGTTAAAGGGTCACTGCACTGAGGGTAATACTGAGCAGGGGGTTTCCTAGGGACTGTATTTCCGTAAAAATGTAGTTCCTCTGAGCATTGTCTGTGACTCATCAATAGCAACTGGAACGTCGATTCTTGATAGGTTTTTTTATGTGAGCACCATTGTTGTTTAAAGACTGATGCCATGAAACTCAAGCAAATAAAAAAAAGTAGACTAGACTTCTAATTAGAAGACAAGTAGTAGGGGGAACATTTGTACTCCTTTTTTTTTTATTTGGAAGAAAATTCCCTGTCTACACTCGAGGTATGTTTCAATTTTGTAAATGACAAAAGTTAGATGATCAAATAGATAATAGTGTCTAATTCATACTTACACTGCACAGCACAAATGTGTATCTAAGGACATATTTGTCATAATTTCCCCAAGAACGTTTAGTATTCTATGTACCGTAGTAAAAAATGCAACTGCTTTCGCCAGTTTTTGCAGACTCAAGTGCTCTTGTTCCTTGTAATATGCAGAATGAAAGCCCAGTGCTTCACTAACAACATCCCTTGGTTCATGAAATAGTCAGTTTGAATTTAAAACAGTTGGCACCATCTTAGCCCATAAACAGATTTCTTTTTTTGGTTTTTCAAAAACCCGATGCTCCGGCAGATTAAACAGATTGATGGATACGTGCCACATTGGATCAGTGTTGCAGACTCATTTATCCTCAAGCACAAGAAAATACATTCTCAGTGAGCTCATAGAAGACGTATGAAACTCTGCTTCGCTCTGTAGGCCTCTCATCAAGCTGAGTATCACGTGGCGTAAGAACGGCGTGTTGGTGACGAGCGGTTTGAGCGACTTCAACCGCCGGCTGACCATCATCAACCCCCTGGTGGGCGACGCCGGCTTCTACGAGTGCGAGGCCATCCTCCGTAGCAGCAGCGTGCCCTCAGTCAGCGGCGGGGCTTATCTGCATGTTCTGGGTAAGAATGATTATTTAAAATATTATTGTGTTTTCACCACTTGTAACAATACTGTTGACACCTTCAACATGCACATTTGCAGGTGAAAATATTTTCCAATTACATTTGTTGACACTTTAACGCTTTAGTATTTAGTATAATCAAATCAGCATATTAATTGAAATGTCTACCTGTCAACAGGTTTAATTAAAGTGCATTGCAAGCACTATTTTTAGTGTTCTGTGGGAAAAAAAACACAGAAATGTGTGTAATGTGCAGTCTGTTTTATTAGTTTGTGTGCATGTCAATGGTCTGCAAAGGCTAAAAAATATGAATTTCTCTCCCATACTCCCCCCTGCTTGAAAAGCCTCTATTGGACTTTTATCTATTTTTCCTAAACATAATGACATTGCTATGTAAAACTTGCACTTCTTTTGGCTTGCGCTCCAACACATTGTACTTGATAGTCTAAGGGGCGGGACAGCTCTAAGCAGTTGACGAATCATAACACAGCCAGCTAACCAATCAGAGCAGCAGGGCTCTGGTTTTGGACAGAGGGGGAGAAGAGGTGCTGCAACACAGGCAAAATAAAGCACTTCTTGAACATTAAATAATATAAGCGGTTCACAGTAGAGGCACAAAATACAAAAATGAACCTGTAAATGAGCGTATTGGGCCCATTTAAGTATGCAGTCCACTTCCACATCCAGATGATCCTTGTGGGAAAAGTTCCAGTATATTTTTCCGCTGTTAAGTCTGGATCGTGTCTTTATTCCTTTTCCATTTTTTTCTTGCAGCGCTTTTGAATGTTTGTTGTTTTGCATTTCGTAAAGTGCCTTTTATTATGTAACATGTTCTCAATGTTAGTGTTTATATTCTCTGCTGTTGTCCTTAAGGTTCATTATAATTATATCCCCAGACCTTTTTTCTGTGGACACGGTGAAGGGAGAATTATGTGATTAGTCATAATGCATAATTACTGTGTGTGCTTTCATATCAGCCTGACAACTTAAATGGGAAGTAAACAGTGCATCTCCATTTGGCCACATACATCAGACAAATGTGTGGGCGTAAACGCTGCATTAAGGTTTGCAAGTTCAAAAGAACTAGCTGCTATGAAATTGATATAAATATTACAAGTCTCACGATATGAATCTGGCTGAGCTGCAGCGGTAAAGTCGTGACGAAAGTGAGGCGAGAGTGGTATTGATTAAAAAGGCAGAAAACTAATGGTTGGCCTCAAGAAACTGTTTAATAGCATTGCTTGAGTCACTTTCCTTCCATCTCACTGAAGCACTTTGATGTTTTCAAGGTTGTAACGTGATTCAAAGGACAAGGTGTGGTGAACCTTTCCCTTGAAACTGCTAACAGCCGTCCCTCTCCCCATGAGTTTGAATGATACATTTAAAACCATTATGATATAGCTATAATTGATTTCCGACATCAAACTACTGTATAATCACATTATCTTCGGCTGAGTAGTAGCCCCGTGAGCAATACATTTGACAAAAAAGTGCAGTGCAATATAGCAGTTATTTGTTTTAAACCTAACACAGTATCCCTAAGGCACTTTTTCACGCTGTGAGGATTTCAGCTGCTGGTTCACAATATTTCTTGTGATTTTTTTTAATTCATTTGTCATCCTTTCTTCTTCCATTCCCTCAGAACCACCGCAGTTTATCAAGGAACCAGAGAAGCACATCACAGCTGAGATGGAAAAGGTGGTGGACATTCCCTGTCAGGCACGAGGTGAGCATATGGGTGCATTTTACCACAAGAATGTGAGGATAATAAATAATGCCCAGCAGAAAGATCTGAAACAATATACTATTTATCTGACTATACTGAAAAATGTAATGGAAAAAAAGCTAAGCTAGACTTCCTGTCTGCATGGTCTGGGCAGGCAGTAGCTCTGTTTGAGTGGTTGGCCTGGAAACCAGATGGTCATCAAATGGTCACTGGTTCAAGTCACCGCACGGACCAAAATAAATATACATATTTGTGTGTACTGGTAATTGGAGGGGTGCCAGTTCACCTCATGCCCACTGTCAAGGTGTTCTTGACCAAATCTGCAACTGCTCCCGGACGCTGAAACATGGCAGCCCTTTCGCTCTGAGACCCCCCCATTAATGCCCATGTTTGCTGATTTCAAATCACCTCTGATTGGAAGAGAACTCTCTGCTCTATAGCTTCTCTTGGATAACTGGACCTAAACTCCCACTGTACATTTTACATTTATATTCAATCTAATATTTAATAATCCATTCCTTTCACAATTAATGTATATATAATATCCGGATTTATATTTTGTTACTGTACATTTTTATTTCCACATGTGTATTTTTTACTTTTTTAATGCTATTTTATTTCTATTTGAGATGTCTTTTAATATCTCTAATGTACAATGCCTTGTCTTTTTATGCGACTGCAACGCAAACATTTCCCAAATTGGGATCAACAAAGTACTTCTTATTCTTATCTTATCTTATCTTCAGGCCTACAGTAATAGAGTGGTGCAGTGATGAGTCCTAAAACCCGGAAGGGAGTTAGGATTTTACCACTACGGGTTCCCTCGTCTCAGAGTCAATGGGATTTCTCCATAGGATTCTGGAAAATAGCTGGAAATAAGGTCTGTGGTTGACACACATTTAAGAGACGGATCACGTTTTGTTCTACGACATTAAATACATCAGCAGAGTTTGTATCTGAAAAACGATGGTTGTTAACAAGTGGCTGAATAGGACTACAGAAGTTGTCGAGGCCGTTGCACGTCATTACGCCGAACACGTAAACACTCCCGCTAAGTTTGTTTTCCCTGTTCTGCTTGAAAGCAAGTACCTGCGCTCTTGCAAACCGTTTAAAACAAACGCTTCAACTTGTCCAATTTAGAATCTGTATTTTTGAATATGGATCTTGATGTTGACGTAACGTGACGTTGAAGCAGCGACGCTGCTGTACTCGGCTGTAGTTCGTTTATAGCATAACATTAGCATTTTTGCTTCTGGCGATTAGATTTATGATTAGAAAATTATAAAAGTAGGGTAGACATGTGGATATTATCCGGCTGAACAAAACCTGCATTTATCAAACAGGTTCGTGTTCCACAGACCTTATTTTTTTACAATATTCCAAAATCCTATGGAGAAATCCCATTGCTTTTTGTTCGAGGGAACCCATGCGCAGCTTAATTCCGGGTCGGCCTACAAAAATACGTCATCACTGCACCCCTCTTTTCCATAAGTCTTGTATGTGCATTTGTCCATTTAAACTGTAAATGTGTATCGACTGCAACCTGAATTTCCCATAGGGGGTTTAACAAAGAATGCCTTTTTCTAATCCCTACCCTTACTCATGCTCTGCAGGAGTCCCCCAGCCAGACATTGTGTGGTACAAGGATGCTTTTCCCATCAACCCTGTGAAGATGCCCAGGTACAGAGTGTTGGTGGGGGGCAGCCTTCAGGTCAACGGCCTCCTGCCAGATGACACCGGGATGTTCCAGTGCTTCGCCAGGAACTTGGCAGGAGAAGTTCAGACCAACACCTACCTCGCTGTCACCAGTAAGTGCTGAAGCAGATTTTCAGACAATTACTGCAATTACAGTCCAATGTGTTTTATTAAAACTCTGAGTAAACCCTTGTTAATACAGGACAATGTTAAAACGTTACACAGCTCTCATACAGCCCTTGTCAAAATCTGAAAAAAAGACCAGTTGTAATTGCTTTACAAAAATAGAAAAGCAATTCCAACCTGTAAGGAGAAGAGTAGCAGCAATTTAGTGCTTTATATGGAATTCTCCTGCAATTTCTTCCTCGAGAAATAACTGAAGATTACACAATGTCCTTTTTCATCACAATTTAGAAAAAGGGCAACTTTGTTTGCCCCAAAGAGGTCAAGCAATATATTAGTTTTCAGGAGCTAGCTGCTTGGTGGGTTCATCCCTTTGTTATACATTGAATAATCTCAAACACTATCAGAAGGATTGCCTTGACATTTTGTAAAAACATTCATGGTCCCCTTACCCATTATCAGGTTACATCAAAAACCTTCAAAGTAATGACATTCCCATTAGCCTCTATGCTACAAGTTTTGTAAAGCCTCACAGAGCAACCAGCGTGGCTGTAGAGACTTTGAATTATTGTTTCTACTTAATAATTACTATAAAACAATCTATTTAAATCTTTAATTTGGATTTGCAGCACAAAGTATAAACATTATACAACGTTTTTCACAGCTGTATGTGCAAGCAACCACACATAACAGTACTCAAGTGGAGGTCATCAAAAATAAATTAAAGGGGACCTATCATGCAAAATGCACTTTGTGATGTCTTTTATACATAAATATGTGTCCCCGGTGTGTCGGGGAACTCACGCAGCGTCAGAAAATAAAACCCTTTCTCTTTTCCTCCATACCCAAATCTTTTAAAAACAAGCGGATACAGATTTTCTGCCGATATGACGTCAAATCGGCAGCGGACCCACAGAAAGTTGCTATCAGAAACAATGCCTGACGTGTTTTGGACGTAATCTCGTCTTTGTTTACATTAGCAAGCCTCGCTAACACTCAGAGCTAACCTGTACTGTAGAGCAGCGGTTCTCAAACTGTGGTCCGCCGACCACAGTTTGACCACTGGTCGTTGGGCTCATCGGACATTTATGAAAAAAGCAGTAAATAAAAAAAGAACTCACCTTGTGATAAACCCGCAAGAGAAAAAGCATTTGAGCTCCATACTGTTTCAGAAATAATCCTTGATGTGGTTTGGAACAGGATTGTGTTTTATCACAGCAGAATTGACCTTTATCTCCGGTATAATTCTGATCAGGCATTAGCTCTAGCTCCTCTTTTTTTTTTTTAAGCTAAGGACCCAAAATCCGAGTTTCTCTAACAGGGCTGCAAAAGAGGGGTATGAGCAGTATGAGGCATGGCTACAATGGGTGATCTGTTTGGTATTTCAAGCAAAAAACTTCACAGACATATTTTTTATAGGTATGACTCTACAATATATTTGTCCAATATAGCATCATAGGTCCACTTTAACTTAAGAGGGCCACAGTTCACAGACTTTGTTTAGGTTCTCTTTGCTATCTGATCAAAAACAAATGGTGAGGAATTCTAAAAACGTATGATTGTTAGCAAAACAACTACTTCTGCTCAACCCGACCTACAACTTGGTTTCCCAACGTGGGAATACAAATGTGGATAAAATGTAATACTGATATTGACTTCTCTTGCTTCTAACACAGCTTGTTGCCTAGGGAATATATATATTTTTGGTCTGACAGGAGTGTAAATACAGTGGGTTGATGGCAATGTGATTGGCGCACATCATATCATATGCAGAAGGTGATACTATTGTAAGAGATGTGACCCCAATCAGTGAAGATATATGTCAGCTCTAATTGACCGAGAATTACTTGGAGAAATGTACCGTTGTTTTCTGTGCGAACAAACTTCTGTCACATGTATTATTTAGTTTTTCAGAAATATATTCTTCTCTTTTGTTCTCAGTAGTTACTCATCTCTGGACTTTCTTATATGAACTGACAATTAGGCCTACACTATTAAGTTCACATGACTTATGACTCACCTTGAAGCCATATTTGCAGCTTCTCTCATCACCTGAATGAATGTGTAGAGGTGTGTTTTTCCTAAGCAAATGCCACTGCTGGGATTAGAAACATGACGGCTTATTTTTCTCTTTTTGTGCATCTGTTTGACAAGTTTCTGACTTTCTTCACTTTGTCTCAGTTCCTGCAGCCTTCACTTCTCACTGCACCGCATTATCAGAATTCATGATATTCTCTCTTCCTCTCTTTCTCTTACTGACACATACTTTCTCTCCTCTCCTTCTCCCTCCAGATCTCATCTTTTCCCTTACACATTCTTGTCTCCTCCTTCTGTCCTTCTCACTGTGTCCTGAGATCAACACTGCTCCTGTGACAAACTCCCTTCTCCCTGTGTCCTCTTGGGAGCAATACAGTTTCCTGTCATCCTATAAAAGCTTTGATTTATTGCATGACATAAATAGGGATTTTAGTTATCTACATATTGCATTCTGTTTCTATGCTTCTCCCTCAGTTATTTCCATTCCTCCTCTTCATATAGTCGCTATCTCTGTGGGTGAAAGAAAAGGAAAAATAGGCCGGCAGCAGACAGTTGAGGTGAAGGCTGTGTCAATCCGCTAAGAATTAGTGGGACAAAATATCAACTAAACGCTGAGATGCAGCGCTTACAGGAAATACCTTTTGAAGAAGGGCTTTGTCATAGACATTCAATATCTCACCTCTGTAACCCTCTTACCTTCTCTCACTGGGCTTTATTTTTATTCCGTGTATGTGTGTGTTTTTCTCCCCTCAGGCATTGCCCCGAATATCACAGCCGGACCCTCAGACAGCACTGTGATCGACGGCATGTCAGTCATCCTGCACTGCGAGACCTCTGGAGCTCCGAGGCCCGCGATCACCTGGCAGAAAGGTCCCCGTTACACACATGCATGCACGCACACACACCCAGGGATTATGATGTTGGTGATCTAGGCCTACACTTTGCCACTACTTAACATATAAGACCTCATTGGGTTCCATGTTTGCATTCCAGATAAGGGCTGAGCAATATGAAATATGAAAAATCTATATGTGATCGTGGTGTGGTTCCTCAAACATCTCAGGTGCTGTGCACATTAAAACATTGGCTAAGGAAGCTGTTTACAAGATTATCGCATGGGTGTTGAATTGTAAATGATTTTCTTTGTGCAAGAATATAAATGAATTTATGTTGGTATTTATACTATTAACAACATAATGACCATTAATTAGGTTTTCAAGTTTAATGACATGCTAGGCGCTTCCACAATATTAAAGTGCTCTTTTCCGTTGCGACATAGGATGAATCAATAGGGATAAATCATATCAAATACTAAATCTACTTTGATACTAGGTGGTATTGTCATATAGCACATCATATTTCCTCCCCTGGTTTTTTTTATTAAACTTAGATTTAATTATTTTACTACAAACATAAGTAGTGTGAGATCAACAAATATATACACAACATAGACAATGTTCCTCCCCTGATTTTGAAGGCTGCGTAACAATGAAGAGATGTCAGTTTCTGAATTTACCATACTGTTCTATTAATTGCATTTTCACACATTTCCCCATTACTTGTGATTGTCTGTCAACAATCTCGACTTGTTAATATGTTCTGAAAGCACCAATAATAAACCCCACAAGGTCCATCTCCGAGTGTTTGGTCATAATATAATGATACCTAATTTAAACAGCAGCTCAGGGAAAAGCTGTCCTTGTTTTTCATCACGGTTCCACCCCCTCATATTCTGTTAATAGATGTCTCTATTTGGACTTGTCATTTTCTGAACTTTTTTCCGACTTTATTTTATATCAGTTTTTACGAAAGGTCCCGACTTTGTTTCGGCTTTCTTTTTAGTCACTTTTCCAAACATTTCATATTTTCACTTTTTGGGTCTGTTTTTTTTCTCACTTTTTTTCACTTTCGCTTCTTTTCATCTTATCTTGTGTCTTCCTCCTCACACACTTTAGGTGAGCGTGTGTTGGCCAGCGGCTCGGTCCAGCTGCCCAGGTTCACCCTCCTCGAGTCAGGCAGCCTCCTCATCTCCCCCTCACACATCTCAGATGCCGGGACCTACACCTGCATGGCGAGCAACTCCAGGGGCATCGATGAGGCGTCCGCTGACCTCGTGGTCTTGGGTGAGTGTGCAGGGTCGCCTTCTTTTTGAAAAAACAACACATTCCTGATGTTTGTTTTTAATACCCAAGCAATCTTTCTCAATCACTCTTACGTGGCAAAATGTGGAGTTTCATTGAGAGGCATTTCTGTGGGAAACAAGGTCATGCTGTTTAATAATAAAACATTTCTTCAGATACAAAAGTGCTCTTCTGTGCGAGTAATCTACTTGTCATGTTGTTGTGTTTGCAGTGTTGTTCTCCTCAGGAAGGACATCTTGTAGGCTGTGTTCTCCTTTCTTACTTATTTTTGTCTCCACAGCTCGCACCCGGATTACCACCCCCCCACAGGACCAGAGTGTTATCAAAGGAACTAAAGCTGTTATGACCTGTGGAGTCACACATGACCCAAGTGTAACTGTCAGGTAAGAGTACAAACACACACATAGAAGTATTAAGTAAGTCAGGTTTCCTTAATTGCATTACAGATAACACTTGTTTAGAAGAAATGTGCTTCACAATAAAAGACAAAAGCAACAGAGTGAAAGCAAAGACACAATAGCAGAATGAACAAAGAAACAAAGGGAAAATAAAAGTGGTTGATAAGACTGAGCTATATTTTTCTTCCCAACAAATTAAATTACCAAAAACCAATTTGCCACTGTCTCTCAAGTGTTTGTTTTTTATTTAATGGTAAGTAATTCTGTAAAACATCTGGGCACTGTAGGTTTAGCATATGTAACTTAGGCAATTATCTAGCCCCTTTGTTGGGATCTATTTTCAGTTGAGTATTAAAATGCATTTAGTGCACCACTGAGTGTTTAGTGCAGCAGGATGGTGTATATAGGATTGACTCGCCTCCCAGTGTTTCTCATTAATGTGTTTTTAATCCTAATTGAAAAAAAACAACGGAGCTCTATCGTGCTGATGAATGCTGATCTCACGCTTTAAGTACACAGGAAAAACTTGTTAGTAAGAAACAGTCATTGTGGGTTTTGATCTTTTCATGGGATTATTTTCACGATAAGAAAATATGTAAATTAAAGGCAGCCTCATCTTTTAAAGTAGTGCCCACAATGCCACTAGATCAAAAGTCCATAAAGAATGAGTTTCAAAGGGAAGGAGACGCAACCTCAAAGTCAAAGTAATCTTTAAAGCCAGGAGCGAGGTTCAACAAACAGACATGCCTGAATTCATAGGGACTTTTTTGAAAGACCTGTTTTTAAAGCTTTGCAGCTTCCTTTGGGGCCACTTGCAAGAGATTCAGGCATTTTAAATAGCGTTAACCTATATAGATCTGTCAATAGATCCAAAATCCATTTTCACATCTGGACACGTTTGTACGCATTCACTATCTTCTACACCGGTAGATACATAAACCTAAAGGTATGTTTCTTGACACCTTTAGTTGTTTGATTAATCTTTTATAGCTGAAAAAAAAATTGGAAGCTAAAGCTTTTTCGATGAACGAAGAGCTCTAGGAGCCGCGGTAACCTGGTCCTATCAGTAGCATTTAGCCTGGCTATACAAACTGTGTTCATAGTGGAGCTTTCCATTTGATTTACACAAAAACAGTTATTCTAAAGAGTAAACGTCTTGCCTCATGTATCCTTCCTTTTATCCTTGTATCCCACCAAAGATATACTGCTTCAGAACTGTCTTCAATCCCACTTTGACCATGACTTACGATCAAGTGATGTTCCACCTTGAATGCAGTCTGTCGGGGGCGGGATGGGTGTAAATAGCCGAATAGCTGCTGTGTAACTATTGTCCCCGGGTGCAAATGGACCTTGTCCAAACATTTTTTTTTAACTCTCTGTATCTTATTATTTTTGCTGCTTTGCTCAAGTCCCTTGCAAGAATGAGCATTGGACTGAATGGACTACAAAACAAAGAAAGAGCACAGCGGCGTCCCAAACACTAGACTTAGACGTGCTCTTCCTGCAAAAGCAAACCCTTACACGGATTGAAAATGTTTGTTGACCAGTTTTGTGCAGGTACATCACGAGAACAGTCGCTCACACACAACCTGCTTACAATTGCAGTCCAATTCAGTTCAACACACAGCCCTCACAAAAGATATTTACTGAACGCCAGGCTTGTAGCTGACATCAGAAGCGATCAATAGACCATTCTGTCCCTTTCTACTCAGGAGAGAAGGCTACATCTGACGCCACGTTTGAGCCGTGCACTTTTGATGAGGGTGTATTCAGCGTTTGATATGCAGCTGCCAAACGCTATGATATGTATGCAGGGCAGCTCCGAGTTTGAAGAGACATCGAGGAGAAAGATGAAATACCTCGCTAATAACGCATTCCTCTAGGATTGAGGTGGAATAAAAGACAAGCAAAACCTCAGTTTACTCATTGCTTTACTGACAGAAAGAGTTAACCTACCGTCTAAAGCTGACATGCATGTGTACGTCATAGTTCACATCCCAGCATGTGGTAACGAAATGATGCAAGTCATGTTCTGGAGAAAAAAATATGTGTATGGATGGATTTGATCATGCATTTAATTTGGCACTGAAGACTGTTCATTTGAGAGTGTGCTTCAAAGCAAAAACTGTTCATTTTTTCCCTAGAGCGTTTCCAAGTGGTATTGCTTTCCATTTTCCGCAGAGATCCCGGAAAGAATATTTTATTGTCTGTTTATTGTATGTTGAATTGTATGGAACAAGCTGTAATAATCTGCACTGAACACGAATTCCACCAGCCTGGCTGTGTGGTCATTAAAGATTCTAATCTAATCTAATCTAATCTAATCTAATCTAGATACCGACAAGGGTTCTTTATTTAGTCATACGAACATAGCTACAGTGTAGTAATGCCAATGCAAATCTTAGGTCACAGGCTTCTCCAACAGTGCAGCACAATAACACAGATAAACAGAAACATATAGTGCAAATAAATAGTAAATACAAAAATAAAAATAGTTTAAAAAAGTGAAATAGTGAAATAGTGCAATAAGAGTCAATATGCAAGTTATTGGAAAATTATATAATAGATGAATACTTTCTAAGTAGCAGCCAGATGAACGTTATGGATGGTGTTTCAACAGTTCAGGTGTTTTTTTCAGCCTGTCCTCCTACAAAAAACGACCATATAGGTCGATTGTTCAGCAGAGTCAAAAAAAGTGTAGCACCTCTGGTGGTTGTGTAAGAAACAACATGCTGTTGATTGCAAATGCTCCGGAGGGTCATTTATTCACAAATAACCCTCTCTGGAAAATCCTAAATTGTGCAATAGTTTGGCCATTAAAATGCTTTTTGATTAGATTTCTAGCGAGAAGTCTATATTGTAATTTTAAAATCTACGTCCAGTGGATTTGAAAATCTATAGTTTGATAGATATTACGAAAAAGATTTGAGGTCTCGCCAGGAGAACGTGTATATACTACGTCTTTACACAGCGTCCATGTAAAGTTGGCGTCAACCCTCACGGGGTTGAAAC